ATAAAAGGGAGACGGCGCCCCCATGCAAGCACAGCATTGCTGTCAATGACAGACTTTGTGATACTGGAGCTTCCATCATGGGTCATGCCTGAAGACACTTCCCATAGTGAGATACCTCACTCAGTTTTCAGAGAACCAAGGTTACACTGGTAACCCAAAGTTTATACAAATAATATTTAAAAAAAAAACCTCGAAGCATTTGGAGAGCGCACACCTCCGTCAAGACCCTAGGTTCACTCTCGCTGTAACATCTGCACAGACGGACAAGAATCCCTTAAAAAACCCTGAATCCAGATGGTGATCCAGATCAATGTAATCCTTTGCTCTTTGTGACAACCTCAACATTTCCTGAAGATTTCATGAAAATCTGTTTATAACTTTTTTAGTAATCTTGTACAAAGACAGGCAGACAAACCAATACCAAAAACATAACCTCCTTGGTGGAGGTAAATAAATGCACATTTCCTCACTCTGTGATCTGTGCTTGATTTGTGGGCATTGTGTTGTGGCAGATCAGCCACATGTATACCCTTTTTTGTACTTGTGTTTAAATTGCCACAACTGACTAGTGAATACATTTTTGTTTGGCCATTTTGAACCCCTGACAATGTGTTGACAGCGTTTGTGTATTATTATATTTATTTTTAGTAGATTTAGTTTAGTTTAACCAGCAATATTTAACATTTTTTGACAGAAAAATACCATACATGTGGGTCACAGATTAAGAGTTTTTGCTGTTAGACGATTGAACCAGTGTTTTGAGTAACAGGTGCTAAGGATTATTGTCAGTTAAATATTTTCAAATCATAATCAAAGGGAAGCATTTTTTTTTTATGTTTCCTGTGCTGTCTTCTTTTGTCACACATTTGTGTGTTCTGCTGCCCCGATGACCTCAAACCTGAACTTTTATTCTGACAGGTCTCCAATGAGAACGTGAGGATAGTCAGCATTCACATAAAGACCCCAGATAAAAGCCTTTCCTTCCTCTAATCCTGGCAGCAGTTGCCTTGAAAAGAGGCACATGTTATACAAAAATGCCTTCTAGTTGCTAAAAATCTGATTTACGCACAGTTTGGTCCATGCTTTCCTGGAAGTGCCAGAGGGGCTAGCGTTTTTTTAAAATAACAGCAAATTTGCTAGAATAGGAGAAAATGCAATTGGCTTCCTACTATTGTTTGAAGGCTTTTGGGAAGTCACAGTAAATGTCAGCTTTTTTAAAAATATTTTGCTTTTATTTTGTACAAGATTGACAGTGTCATGGGATTATTTGTCTTAACAGCAGTCAGTTCTACCAGCAAAAGAACCCAGGATGGAAAATTAGCATAATCACTGATCAAATTAATCACTGCAACTAATCCCCAAGACAAATGAGAAAGATACTCGACAACCGTTTGTTCAAATTTTACACAAACACGTCGAGAGCACCAGAATTCAATCACAGCGAGCTGATTAAAAATCCTCTCTAGTCCTCGAGCCCACTCACTTCGTCAGTGTCACAAATCCTATTCCATGTACAAATATTTTCTGTTCCGTTGTTTTATTGTGCGATACATTCATCTTTCTCTCCTCTTCCTCCCCCTCCTTCTGCAGGCCCACTTCTACAGCTAAAGAGCGTGTGCACTGTGTGGGTCGGACTTTCTGTCTTGTACAGTACCAAGCATTAGTCACCCAGGTTGGTGGATGAAGAGAACAAGTAGCACAGGTGGGTGGAAATGCCCTCATATTGGATCACAGAGACCCTAAAACAAAGAACAATATCTCAGAGATGAGAGGATCGGTTTCCAAAACAGGGCTTTATATGTAGCTATATCTGAAGCTGTGGATGCCAGACATAGAAGTCCTGTCTTCATAACATTAGAGTTTTTCATTAGACCATACTAAAAACAATGTATTCTAGAAACTATTTAGGATTTTTCTTGCAAGATGAAATTGTTAATTTGAAAAAAAAAAAAAAAAAAAAAAAAAAAAAAAAA